ATACTATATATATATATATATATATATATATATATATATATAAAACAATGTCAAATTTTAAATTTGATGTAATAATCAAATCTCAGCTAATAAGTAACGCATTCGAAAATAAAAAATCAATATTTTTATGTTTCTTCAAATAAGCCGATTTCTCCGAAAGACTTCTACTTATATTATTTTTTAAATAACAAATTCGAATCTGTCCGTTTTTCAAATAATATTTTTAAAACATGGTTTTTAAAACATAAATAGTTTAGAATTCCCTTAAGAAATCTTCTGAAACCTGTACCTATTTCGTGTCCATCAAGATTCTCGTCCTGCAGACAGTCTGAGTAGAACGACGGCGTTAAAGCGTCGTCGTCCTTACTACGCGTCGTTCTCCTAATTCCCGAACCTGTTATCGTCTCGTTCGCCTCGGATAATCCAGGATCTTCGCATCGTGGCGATAACCTTTGAAAAATACCTTTGAAGTATCGATCCTCACCGAACGTGACTTCGCGAAGAGCACGATTCAGCTGTTCGATCAGATCTCGAATGTAAGACAGCATCGGGGTGTCGCCTTCCTCTTCGCTGATCTTCGCGGAGATTCGCAGCTCCTCAAGGGCCTCTATGTGAAGCAGATCTCATCTTAGAGTACGGTAGTATGTTAAATTTTTTTTTCCAATTTCCCTTGAATATTTCATCCATATACAAACAATGAGCGAATATAAATTAAATTTTTATTAAATTGCGACGTAATTTCAGAGAAGTAATATTCGACTAAATATATCAAATATAAATATGCATTTGCAATATATTGAATTTAATTAATTTTAATTTTCGAAAATTCCAGGGTATATCACTTTAATCCCATTTCTGAGATAGCTACATTTTGCATTTTTCATCATAATTTTTTCTTCTTCGTATCTAGTTGTTTGTAGATGTTGTGTCGTAGTCTACATTTTGACACTTTTTCACGGACACACAGTAAAATGAAAATTCTCCGTGGTAAAAACGTCAACGTATACGTCAGAGAAAAGTGTTACATTTTTCACTCCTCTTTCCTTTCCTCTTTTCTTTCTTGTATCTCGGTCGGCACAACGTTTTGATACGACCAGACATTCTAGATATGTTTTTTCGGGCAGTTTAGATAACACGTAACGCTGTGCGGAAAGTTGTGCGTTATTTTTTCGAGCGAGGGTGGCGAGGAGCCGCAATGCGATATTATCACCCTGGGGAAAAAAATGTCAAAAGTTAGGTTTTGAAAACTTCGCTGAAATTCCGACGAGAGAAAGAAAGAGACGCGATATCTCCGGCAGCGACGCGTTACAATTTTGTTCGTGCGGAAGACTTCGTTCGGCTAAGAAAGTGGGCCAAGAAGAAGAAAAGGATGCTCTTGGAAAGACTCGGAACGACAGTTTGAGAAATAGAGTCATCACCGGCGAAACGACCCAGCATCACCAGGCACTGCGCCCGTAGCAGGCCGGCGCGGAAGGTCCACTTCTTCGAGTTCGCCTCCTCCGCGCATTCCCGACACTGCGTCGCCTTGCGCAACCCCTTGACGTACTTCCCCATTTCCAAATGGCAGCGTCCAATCTCGTGGTGCACCCAGGCTCGCGGCACCGGGTGCTCGACGTGAATCGACAGATTTTCCAGGGCGCGTGCCGCGGCTTCCAAATGGCCGAAGCTGAGATGCACCCTGCCCAGAATCACAAGGGCGTGCGACAAGAGGACGACGTCGTTACTCTCCTTCGACAGTCGTACCATCATGGCGACGTTGCTGCACGCTCGATCGTGCCTTCCTAAGGCCGTGTGGATCAGGGACAAGTATCGGTAAGCCGGTATTCTGTGCCGTCGAGAATCACCCAAGTCGGAGGGTAACATCAGCAGATCCTCGGCGAGTTTCAGGGAAGTCTTCATCTTGCCAGCATTGAAATTAGCTTTCAAATTCTTCAGTATGGCGTCCGCATGATTATTAATACGTTTCAACATCGTCTTGGATCGGGTTAACCTTGCGGTCAATGATCTCAGATCGAAAGAAATTTTGTTGGAAGTCCTCTTGTGACTATCGAGATATCTGAAAAGAAAGGGAAAGGAACCTTTGATCGAGGCATCGAAATACTTAATAATATTCAACAAGTTTTATGCCATCAAAGATAAAATCCTTTCGTCTTAAATTAAATTTTAGAGTGCAATTAAATAGCGCGATCTCGTTTGCTTAAATCAAAGGAAATTTTACTTCTTCATTTTAATTTTAATTTTTATATAATTTCAAGACGTAATCACCGCGATATTTAATCTCTTGAATTAAAACATTGAAACGGTAGAAAATTGACTTTAAAAAAAAAAAATCGGTGGAGGAATCTTTAATGTTAAAATTAATGATTCACACTTTCAGAAATCAGATATATTATCTACGTTAAATATGAAAATATAAATTTTATCTACACTTACTTAAGGATATCAGGGATGATTGATAGAGCGTCGGAAGACCTCGAAGCATCGCGTGCTTTGAGCGCTGTACTTTCGTAACTCGGAGTCACCCTCGAAATCGCATCATCCCTCGTACTCGTCGAACTTTTTTCCGGATTATTCCACGAGCTTATCGTGGCCGCGGTACGTCGTGCTGCCACACCGTGACTGCTATCATGCGGACACACGGTGGCTGCTCGATGATATAACACCAATGCCGACTCGTACTCGCCACTGTGCAATTTACGCGGATGAATTTTTAAATTTTCATTAATTATTCTCGCGTTAATTGGGTTTTCATGATGATATCGTGATAGACGACTTAGTAAAATATTTAAGCACTTAAAAAGTTATTAGACATTTATTACTCAATATATTAAATAACTATTAAGCTTCACTTTGCTGTATGCTGTATGATAAATGTTTTATATTTATTAATCCAAAAATTAAATTTTTTAGTATAAAAATGTGATTTAATGCATTGAACGTTATAACTTTAAGACTATGAGTATGATCTATTGTCTTATTGATGCTGGAATTAAATTAACAGCCGCGGGCTGTTTAAGGATTTTTTTTATCGAGGCGAGAGAGGAAACTCTATTTGTAGAAATAAAATGCTCATGGCTAGCCGCAAAAACTAAACATCGGTCGTTTGTAAAGCGATATTCTCATTGAATGTTCTTCTCGGGGAAACGACGTATTGGCAACATTTCCGATAATCTCCATGACCCATTTTTCTTAAGAGTGACCAAACCGCTTACACCTCTGCGACAATAATGATAGGTTCCTGTGGCGAATTTTAAATTTTAAATATTCGACCACCAAAGTTATACTGCGTTTTATCGATAGCAAATTCACCTCGATATAACGTAGTCCGATAAATTTACGCAGTTACGAAGAACGAAAATATTTACCATTTCCGTTCGAAATGTTAAACGAGTTAAACGCAATTATCAGTGCAGTTATCAATTTATTAAAACGCATGATATTGAAAATGGTAATACAATTGAGAGACGATCGAGTAACAATTGCAACGGAGAAATTAAACAACCCTTTGATTTAATTTTTAGATAAAATTTATTTTATTATATATATATATATATATATATATATATATAAAGTAAGAAGATCTACTTTACTTTACATATAGAAATTTTTTTATCACTTATACATGTCGATCAATTTATATTCGTATAAAATATCGGCACTTTTGACGTAACTAAGTTAATAGGTAGGAATATATCGCGATCACTTCTACACATTCACGTGTGCAGATCCAATTTCCAGTTGAAAATTACAGGATTACGCCAAGGCAGCACAATAGCCCTTTCTCCCTCATTGTTACACGCGTTCGCGAGCCCATACAGTCGCGAGTCTTTTCACAAATACAAAGGGAAACGAAAATATTATTAAGAAAACGGTCGGCGTTTAGATCGCCCGTTCGATCACACGCGCGGAAAAAGGATGGGAAAAGGCAAGCGCGTGAGGTTAATGCGCTTTTGATGTAACCCCGAAAACGGCGATCCATCCTGAAATTATTCAACGCGAACGCCCTCGAGAGCGGCGTCGTCACGCCCACGTCAAATTAGGCGATCCGAGCTAATCAAAACTCTTGAAATATGAGGTGGGGCGTGCGATTAATGTTGTCCGGTGCTTAATATCGTTAATCGGGTATTGATTACTTCACCGTTCGCACAGCTCGTCCGCCTGGCGATGTAGGGCTTGTGCATATTGTCGATTACTTCCACGTGGCAGTCTCGAAGCGCTCGTCTTTATCTGGAGGCGCGCACGACTCTCTGCGTTCTCCACGGTCTGCTTGGTGACGTCGAGATCGTGCTCGGCGTTGTTAAGCTTCCATCTGGCAGAGATAGCCATTCACACCACCGTCAGTTTCCCCGACCGAAGATATCCCGATATCCCGCAATTTGTTTCTCGTGCGGAAGTCCCGCCCGTAACCAATTTCGCTTCGTTTAAAGTCGATTTTTCGATAAAATTATTAGCAGGCCACGATCCGCATATGTTTATTTGCATTTATATAATTGAGAACAATATTATTTGTATGTTCGTGCGTGTGTGCACTTTTTATTTTAGATTTTATTAAGTAATATTAATTACAGTTACAGATGTTATTGTTCGGTGAGTTTTATGCATTTTTGCATTGAGCCTGCTAAAAAAACGCCGGTAACCAATTACGGCGTGCAACGCATTAATTGTATGAATAATATAATTGCCTTTATGCAATAATACCTTCGTGCCAACGGCAAATTATTTTCCTTATTAAATTAGATATTAACGTAATTTTGTAAGATAAATAATTCTGTATAAAAGATGAGTAATAGTAATTTTCAAGCCGACGAACGGTACAGCGAAAGCCATTATGACTATCACGGAAGCTTTTATAAATATCGCCGTGCGCGAAGAGTAATCTTCGTAATCTATCTTCGTAAATTTCATGCGTACCTGGCAACAACAACGCGTTGCACGGTTCTATTAGATCATTCTGCTTTTCGAGTGATCTAATAGGAAGTTATCCGTCTCGAATTATTCCTAACACGGCCGCGGAGAATACAACATACCTCGTAATTCCTCTCGTATCAAGCGTTAGATTTACGAATCGCAGAAATACAAAGGGCTTTCATTAAATCCCAAATACATATTCCATATATTACATTCAATTTCGAACACACTAATTTCCCCTTTCTTTCTCCGTATATTCCTCTCTCTCTCTCTCTCTTTCCTAATAATTCTCTCTCTCTCTCTCTCTCTCTCTCTCTCTCTCTCTCTCTCTCTTTCGGGGCATGAAATTAAAACTACAAATAACGCACGTCGACGGAATACGGATTTTTTAATGGCCCTCAATAAATGTGAAATGGACAAACGCGCATTAATAACATTAATAACATAACGGTCGAGTGACTCCCGTTTGTGAATCCGGATCATTATATCGCGCGTTGATTAACCGGCGACAATTTGCAATGAATACCGCACAAACGACGTAACGATGAAAACGATGAACACGAGTGTTTGCGCTCCCGGTCGAAGATCGATTATTCGAACTCTTGAAAATTCACGAAACCTGGTCGCCTGCGCGGCGGGGCGTACTGCTTTAACAAAGCGATTCTGGCGTCTCTCTCCGGGTCCTTCGGCGGGCTGGGTAATATGGTCCTTCGCGCGGAGGGTATTTTGAACTTTCGATCGATCGGCTTGCAGCCCGGCATGACGGAGAGTCGCCTCTCGGCGGGCACGACGTCCATTCGCCGCCACAGAAAATCCACCTCCCCCTTCATCTCCTTCGGCATCAGCTCGAGGATGAGCTGCTGTCTGACGGCGATGTCGTCAATGTCGCCGCTACGCTCCACATCCAGCTCGTCCACGACCTCTAGGGCCCTTTGATAAAAATCTATCTGCGGATACGTTATGAGAGCGGCCCTTGAATTAAGCGCATTGTCATTGTGGAGAATGCTTTTTGCTTATCGCTACGTCAGCGGCCCGATTGTACAGCGTTATAATAGCAAGAAATGCTTTTTGCAAAAAAAAAAAAAAGGATCATTAAAGGATCCGCCTTTACGATGGGATTTTCCCGAGCGACGGTTTTTTTCATCGTTTTTCTTCACGGAGCGAAAAAACTGCGATTGCAAATAGCGACAATGTGAATAGAAAGAGACTATTTCAGGATTGTTGGGATATATAAAGGAAACGCATGACGGGAACGTAAAATTAAAAGAAAATTAGCTTCTATTAGATAACATTCTGCGATAATGCATCGGTGAATTTGCGCCGAAGTGCCGTCAGATCTTTTTTCATCCTTTACAAAATTTAGAGCACGCGGTGGCGCGAATTGCCTTGAATAGAAAGATTAATGCAAATGGCTGAAAATAGCGTTGAACGAATCGATTTTTTTTTATTTTTTTTCCGATATTTTTTAAAAACACGTTCTTCGCGCGCCGTCAACTGATTTTAAATAATGTGTGTATATCGATCGTTAAAATGAATTTGACCGCAAAATGGCGACGCAGTTACGAATGTTATTCCGCAAAATTGTGGATTTTATTTTTACCAGATAATCGATATTGAGCTTTCTGACGTGCGCGAGCGCTAGATTCACGATATCTCTCGCCTCACTCCGGTTATTCTGATAGATCTCAATTCGCAGCATCAGATGATTGATGTTCAGGACCCATTGATCACAGTTTGCCTCCTGCGCCATGTCCTGTCCCTTTTTGGCGTAAAATCTAGCCAAATCGAAGCGACGTATATCGATGAGAAATTTGCAAAATTCATGCTGCAGCCAGGCAAGCTCGAGGGGCGTGGATGCCATGGCTAATCTCCTGTTCGAACCGCAAATATCGAAGTTGTTTTCAAAATATCGATCAGTTAAATGGGAATTATTATAGCGTATTAACCGCGAGTGTAATTATAATCGTAAATTACATGCATAAATTACATCGCGTTCCTAAATTACGTAATCTGTAATCGTATAAATTATGCAGCTTTATGTTAAATAATCAACAAAAAAATCAACGGAAAACAGAAGAGGCCGTTAGCCGAAAGAGCAAACTTGTCAAAATGTGAACAGAATAAAAACGTGAACGAGATATAAAACGGCCAATAATGAACGAAATATATAAACGAAAATTTGACAATGCTAAAAATTTTAAGAGCACGGAAATGAAATATGAATCCCATTTG